GTTGCATTCCTAAAAATCACTTCTGTGATACTCTGTACATCCTCATCCCACATCATCAATTTAAATTACCTCCCAAATCATCACTTTCTGGGAACCTCCCTAATCATACCTTAAGGGATACTTTCACTATTATCATGATCATCACTTTATGGATACTGCATACATCAATGCTTTTTTTGTCGAACATCTAACAACATCACTTTAGTTTAGAGATTCTTCCCACATCATCACTTTATTCTTCTTGAACATCTTGAGTCAGTTCAGAAGCAATGTCACCATATGTGACTTTTATTTTGTGATAAAAACTTTTATTTGTGTTTATTGTAGAAAAACAAAATGTCCCCTTGGCAAAATTCAAAATTTGGATTTCTGTAAAATATTTTTACGGCAATATTACACTAGTGTAATTCCGCTAGACATATGACATCATAATGGTTTACAGTTATGACGTCACAATGCTAATACCTCTGTCGCAATGTTATTAGACCTTGCTTGACTCGTGGAAAGCTGAGAATCATCATACTTCATTTTCTATCAGTATATGTTGGAGAGTAATAAACAGAATACTAAACTCGCTTCCGTGAAATACCATTTTTATTTAACTCGTGAAAGATTTAGCAGCAAATCATTAACTCGTTTAATAAAATGGTATTACACGGAAGGCCGTTTAGTATCCTCAATATTCCGCTTAATTATATCAAAAACATACCTAAGTCAGGCACAGTTCATATGTTTATAAAATATGGTTCATACCCATCTCAAGTGCAGGTCATTCCCATATGAAATATTATTCTTACCAAAATCAAACATGGGTCATAGTTCTCTCAAATGCCATTCATAACTTTCTCATATATTGTGCATAAAATTGTCAAATACAGTTAATACCTACATCAATTACAGTTCAAACACACATTAAGAGATGAAATATATTTATGGTGAAGATATACTGCCTTATGATACTGTTGTGAGATAGAAAAGAAATTTTCAAACCGGTCATATGTCCCTCGGGCTCAGGGAACATAAACAAACATCGAGGGTACATCAACCCATCGGCCCTGAGGGACCAGTGAACAACTTATTTATCTTACCGAACACCTTAATGTTAATTTTGAATTGTTTGAGGCACGGGTACAAATCTTTTTGTAGCCATCGCTAGATTTTACTGACAAGAAAACAGATTTAGAGTTATCTCCCTTCCATTGATTTGCATTCGCAAAACATCGGTAATTTCCGTACATCATATGTGATTCAATGTTATTCAAGATAAAGAATTACTACCACGAAGTACCAAATGAGCTGCCATTGACAGCGAGTACATTGAAATGTTACCTCGCTTGTAAGCGGGGTACATTGAAAATAATAGAAGAGCGCTCAGCCAATCAGAAAGCGACATGTATGTGTGAGGTAAGATAAAGATGTATGTTGTTAGCTTTAAGCTGTTGAGCGCATGTTTGTTCAGTGAATATTCGTCAAATCTAATGCCATTATGGTTAGTTAACTTCAGTCAAGTGTGTTGCACTAAAACAACCAAATTCTGAGTAATCGAAAATATGTTTTTACAATTGATAATTATTGTTAGTTAACTTCATTCAAGTGTGTTACACTAAAACAACCAAATCCCGATTGTGTTTTTTTACAATCAATAATTGTTTTTAATCTTTCCTTCGATCGATTTTGATTATTGGAACACCACTAACACATACAGAGACTTATCTAGCATTTATCAAGTGCCCTTTCTGTAAAACTGGGACAAAATGATCATGTCCAGACCTGGAATATTTTGAATGATTATTTCTGAAACTCAGAGATATTTTGTCATTTCATTCCATACAGTAATGTGCTAGCTAGTTTAAACTCAATCTGTGATACTCTAGTGGTTTTACTGTCCTTCATTGACAGAATTTATATATTATCTGTATGTATTATAAATTTAGAACTAGTTTTAGTCACGATATGGCTGAAATATTGCCGATGTGACTTTAAATTTTAACTCACTCACTCACTCACCATACAGTAATGTGAAAGTAAGCTCCAAATGGCCTCCTTCTCTACTGGTCTTGCCGATAGTGAAATCAGTGAAATGCAAACCACCCAAACATAGAAGTAGTTCAAGTTACATTGAAGTAGGAATTTTTTAATTCCAATTGGCATTTGTTGCAACATGAGTTGAAAGATGTTTTCTTTATAAGATTCCCATAAACAAAGTCTTTGAAGAAGAAACATATGCTTTAACAAAGGGTAGTTTTTTCGACACTGAAATGTCACACAATGTTCAGCTAGAAATGATAAGTAATCGGTGTTGTGAAGGCTCTTGTGGATAGGGTAAGTATAACAAAAACACTTTATATATACTGAGATTATATTTGTGGGGATTTATTGGGAACACATGGGCTCTGTGGGACTGAACTTTTCGGGACATTATAGATTTCTGAGTACCAGAGTTGGTCTAGATCCATCATTGATGTTTGTCATTATTCACAGAATCACTAGAAATATCCCGGTGTAGGCTTTCTGTAAAGACTTTTTACAATGCATGGACATGGACAGTTTTGACTGATCAGTAAAGATGAAAATAAGATACTTTCCATAAACCTACCTGATTTCCAATATTACTTGTTATTACCCATACGGGTGGGGAGATCCCGTGTAATATCTTTTTGATATTTGCACAGTGTGCAATTTAGTGATTCTCGACGTTGATTGGTTGATCGGATATTTGTACATTTTCATTGGATGCCGGAACTACTTTCACACACTACGTTCATTCATAAAGTTTCATCGATTCATTGATAAATTGACATTATGTAATGTAATCACACATTCCGAGATCTAAAAAAGAAAACATTAAGGTTAAAGAATATGAATATTCTTTTTATTAGACGTTATTATTTTGGAATAAAACTGCGTTATAAATAGTAGTCTTTTTAAATTATATAATCTTTAAAAAAAACACCAAAACAATCGTTTGCATTGTTTGTAAACAAACATGGCCGCCGTTAGGCTAACCCCGATCAAGGTCACTTACCTAGTTAAAGTTGACGGTGACCAAATAGGAAGAGTGATAAGAATTTTACAGCCCTTGAATTACCAAAACCTGTTTGTTGTTGAAACTGAATTCGGGGAAATAGAAACAGCAAGATACCGACTAAAGATGTTATCTGAAAGTGTAACAAGTAAGTCGGACACAGCGTCCATGCCATCGAACCAGAAAACAGCTCCTTTCTTACCGGAATCAGTGCTAAATGTTCTTCTTCAAGATGACTTTTTATATCCATGCATTCCTAATCAATCGAGAGAGGTTGGTCCCAGTAGCCGATGCAGAGATTGACACATTTCATAGACTCGATTCCGATTCGACTAGAGTTATCCTTCTTGGAACTGCTGTACTCTACTAAGACGAGAGTGTAACATGCCTTCCACTGAACAAAATGTTGTTTTATCTTCAAACTTGTTGAGTTTCTTGACAGAAAACTTTTTCTAGATGTATTCGTGGGATGGTTGTCTTTTAGATTTCCCAACTTTTAACCGTTGACTTTCCAAAAAATGACAGGTTTTGCCAGAGTGTGTTTCAACACTACACCGTCACCGTCACTAGAAAAACACGCCAGTCGTGGAATGAACGATGTTCCACGCGACTGACTTGATCGAATAAATGTTTAGCTCTTATTAAGTTCAATGATATATTTAAAAGATCATTTTTATCATATTAACAAATGTTAATTAATTATTCCAGGCATAATAATTTTGTTGTATTTTAAAGCGATTTTATGATGTACTATTTCCATAGCGTAGTTATGTTATTACCGCTGGAGAAGTTAGGTTTAATATGCCGCATGAATACTTAATCAGCTGTTTAAGGTCACAAGTCCTGTCTCCGGGTGGTTTTATTTCGTGGTTCTTCCTTTTAAATTACATTATGGGTAATAAATAGAATATCCAGCAGGTGCAGTGATTACGGAAATATGCCCTCGTTAAAATAATGTTCAGTGCCTCGCCAAAGCGCGGCACTGAACGCCAAGGCACGCACTGTGAACATTATTTCAACTCGGGCATATTTCCCGTAATCACTCGTACCTCGTTGGTTATTCTCTAAGTGTTACCATCTTCCTTCCACCTGTATATGTAACTGTTTAACTGGTTGTAATGTGTTTGTGGAGATTCTGGGTTCCCAGCCGAATTATGCTGGTCATGCAAGGCTACCTAATGGATTGGGTCGTCTTTGTGACATGCCTTATAATGAGTTCATGATCCTGTGGAAATTGCTTATGTGAATCACTGGATTGTCCTATCTGGATTCGATTATTTAGAGAAGTCATGGTTATGAAGCTCGAAAATTGCTGAGTGTGGTGTAAGCAATAAACAAACCCAACAAACTAAACAAACAAACAAACAAATAGTTTCCTCTGATATGTTTCATATTGGGAAATATTTTACGAGAATTTTAATGATTTACCTAAAATATAATATTAGGGATAACTATTTTTGCATTTGTAAACGTTCTGATGTCTGTGATAAGTACGGTGACTTATCACTATTAAATATTGGTGACCCTTGTCAACGTGTCAGCAGAGAGTATGTTAGAATATAGACTTAAGATGTCAAATCTCTTTTACAAAGATTTTGCAATGGGCCATTTTCATGGGTTTTCCTATATCTTTACCAAATTTCAAAAATATCTTTCCGATATTTCCGATGACAATCAGTAGATGTTCTGGTATATTAACTAATCAGAAACCTGGCTTTACAAATTATACAATGCTTACCTCCCTTGCTTTCTTGCTTTATGTATATAGTGTATGAAAACTATGATATCATAACTTGATCTTTTTCATTTCCATGACGTTTCAAATAATGTAAAGAATATTTCATATTTCTCTTTACAAATTGTCAGCTATGTCATGTTGCTAAAGAGACCCTGTTCTCTATGCAGTACAACATATGCATGTTGTTTCCTACCCACCAAGTGTTGTACTACAGTAGGACCTGTTCCTCAAACACAGATACTGAATGCAGACCCTATAGGCTCTGTATGCCCGGCATGCTGCATGATTGGTCGCTGAGTTGAATACAAGCAATGCATTCCAGTCTGTCGTCTGAAGGGCCGAAACGGAGGTAATGTGATAGACATATATGACAGCTATTCTCACTGTTGTGATGAAGATGCTTATCTGTCACTTGTGACATGTTGTATTGTATGATATATAATTACACACCATGTTCGCTGAGATAGACACAGCAGCTATAGCCTCTCATACATACAGACACTGAAACAAACATATCCACAACAGCCTATGCAAATCTCGATCTGTTGGCACGTCCAGATTACGGAAGTTTCTGAGTCTAAAAGTGACTAAATATCTTGGCTCCTTTTCATCATGTTTTTCATGTTTTACTTAGATAAAACTTGTATTCTGTGAAAACAAATCATTTTCAGGAACTATGTCAGCCATGTGTCTGTTAGTCCAAGACTAGTAACAGTCAGGTTTAGATTTCTGAGTCTAAAATGACGAAATTCTCTGGGCTCCTTTTCATCAAGTTTTATCATGATTTACTAAGATAAAACTTGTTTCCAGTAAAAAATCATTTTCAGGAACTATGTCAGCCACGTGTCTGTTAGTCCGAGACTAGCAACAGTCAGGTTTAGATTACTGAAGTTTCTGAGTCTATAATGACGAAAATCTCTGGGCTCCTTTTCATCAAGTTTTATCATGTTTTACTTAGATAAAACTTGTTTTCCGTAAAAAATCATTTTCAGGAACTATGTCAGCCACGTGTCTGTTAGTCCGAGACTAGCAACAGTCAGGATTAGATTACTGAAGTTTCTGAGTCTATAATGACGAAGTTCTCTGGGCTCCTTTTCATCAAGTTTTATCATGTTTTACTAAGATAAAACTTGTTTTCTGTAAGAAAATCATTTTCAGGAAATATATGTCAGCCAGTGTAATCATGTGACAAGCCATGTGACTTTGTAGCGACAGGGGTCGCTACCTTCAGTCTTGCTCAGTGTACTCCCCACAAGCAGACGAATGTTTGAACTGTGTGTTTGAACGTTGCTAAATTGAGCATCTGTGAGGAAAAGGGAAGCTCATTTCACTTATAGTTTGGCATGAAATGCATGTGGACCCGGTTTTTTGTAAATATCTCTTCATCCAATGACCCAATCGATCTCAAACTGTGCAAGTGGATGTTTTGTCAGACAACCTAATCACATTGTAAATCACCGATTTTATGCATTTGTATTAAAGAATCTGTCTATGTAACTGTCAACAAAATAAACAGCAGAACGCAGAATGCTTGCAGAGGGAGGGAGCCAAAGACCTGTAACAGCAGCAGTGTTGGGTCATAAAGGTCAACGTTCGTCAATGTAGGTCAGCTATGTACGTTTCATGTAATCCGACACCTGATAAATCGGTTTGCTACGTTTGCTCTCTTTTTAAAAAAAATTCAACACATTTCTAATTAAACGTTTAGCAAATAAGCTTTCATGATGACAGCTAGAAGTAGTCAATGTGAATGATCCAAACGGTCTATCACTGTGCAGTGCACAGGTAACTATCATGAACTGCAAGTGCATTTACCCTTATGACCCAACACTGCCGCTGTTGACAGTTACATAGACAGATTCTTTAATACAAATGCATAAAATCGGTGATTTACAATGTGATTAGGTTGTCTGACAAAACATTCACTAGCACAGTTTGAGATCGACTGGGTCATTGGATGAAGAGATATTTACAAAAAAACGGGTCCACATGCGTTTTATGCCAAACTATAGAAGATATTCCAGCTCAGTTGAGGAGCATTCTCCAGCGTCAGAATAACCTGGAACGTCAGTTTGATCAGAATTTCAACGCTTGCAGCCCGTTAATTTCAGCGCCGGAGTGTGACCCACGCGTTAATGGCGGCTTGACGGACGTTAGGCCTAATACTACAACTACTAGTGACCGGCATCGATCTGCTCAGTCGTCTGATGGTGTCTTCGTGGATCAGGACTTGTAAGGCCAGTTTCAAGCTATAAGGGACAGCCTTCAGAGGATCAGACTACCTCCAGAACTTCGACTCAATGAATCCAGACGTAGGTGTGCGCGCTAACGACAAAGCCCACTTCAACACGCTAACCCGTTCGGCCCGGTACGTGGAGACGTCACTCAAGCTATTAGCTTCTTTTGATAAGGGCAGAACACCGGTCTTGACCAGGTTGCTTCGCTGTTTACTATTCTTAAGGCTCATATGTGTTATCTTCAAGATGAGCATGCTGCCTTACTAGTACAAGGACAGTTCGATCCCAGCACATCCAGATTTTGTAGCGCCTTACAGAACAATACTAGTGGCTTTTCGCCTAGTGCTTTGGAATCGTTCAGGAGTGCAGCTTCAATCGCCGCTGTTACTGGACAGCAGAATAGACATCACAATAAGTTTCAACACCGATGCAGATTCACTAGAGGTCGTGGTGGTCATGATATTTATTCACAATTTTCGAGTTGTTCCTTTCCCCAGAGTCGATCTCACAACACGAGTGGCCAGCTTAGGAGCGAAAGCGACGACTAGTTATAGTCGTTAGAGTTACCTCCCTTGGCATGGTGAACTATTTACATCGTGTTTCAGCATGGGAACAGATTGATTCTCCAAGCACTGTTATTGACTGGATCCGTGATGGAATTAGGAAACCTTTTCTGAACATTCCATCTACATTTGACTTTAATAATCCTTCCTTGTCAGTAAAAAGAGTGTTCATTTATTGATTGCGAGGTAAAAGACTTGCTCGCCAGTGGAGCTATTGAACCATGTACTAACACTGACTTTGTGTCTGCTATTGGTTGTGTGCCAAAGAAAAACGGTAAACTTAGACTTATTAATAATTTGAGGTATCTTAATTCTTTTTGTAGTGTTTCAACTTTTAGAAATGAAGATATCAGAGACGTTGCAGATGTTATTAAACCAAAAGATTACATGGTTAATCTTGACGTTAAAAATGGTTTTCATCATGTCCCTGTTCACCCTAATGACCGTGACTATTTGGCTTTTAGTTGGAATGGAAGAGTTTTTAGATGGTGTGTTTTACCATGTTTACCATTTGGGTTAAGTTGTAGCCCATATTAATTCTCCAGATTCCTCAGGCCTGTAGTCAAGTATCTTCGCTCTGTTGGCCTTAGAGTTGTTGTTTATGTAGATGATTTTATACTTATGTCAGATAGTAGGCAAATTTCAGATCATAAAGACTTATTGTTGCATACTCTTGAAGATTTGGGTATAAGGGTCAATTATGACAAAAGTGTTTTAGATCCTTCTCAATGTGTGGAGTATTTAGGGTTTACAATATTTACAAATACTGACAGTGGTTTGGTGGAGATCAAGGAGGCTACATGGAAGCGGATTCAGCATATTAAGAGATACATACGTAGAACTTTACACAAACAAACTGTTACAGCTCGATGTTTAGCCCGTGTCTGTGGGCAGTGTGTGTCTGTCAAGCCAAGCCGTGGGTGCATCCAGGGTAAAGTGGAGAGTGATTGTAACATATACTCTGGAGATTATCGAGGATGTGATGTCTTGAGCATGTTGAGTTTACAATGCAGGAAGTTATAATTTAAAACAAGTGGCTATGCTGTTCTCATGCACTTTTGTCATAAGCATTCCCGTGACAAGTAGTGGCAATTGTTTTCACTCTTTGAAAATCCTTAATGATTTGACATTTAGTCTATCATTCTTGACTGTATGCTTCAATTTGGTGATAAATTGACTTTAAACGTGGCGTTAATTGACTTCTGATAGACTACAGTTCAGATTATGTAGTGAACACAAAATCACATGAGCAGACGTGCTTCAGGACAATCTATTTGTTTTTTAGTAAGTGTACCGGGAAATCATTGAGAATGCATTTAGAAGAATGAACATGTCGAATTGTCATTCAATTACCATTAAAAGGCATAATCGAAAACTATTTCCAAAGAACAATCATTTGGATTGAAATCATTATTTTTTAGACCACTCCTGCAAGACAAAGACGAAAAAGCAATGTTTTTTCCTCAACACATTTCATTTTCAGAAATGTTTATTATTGTGTAAATCCTGAGGCCAAATGTATTTTCATGTTTTCTGGAAGAAATATATTTTTTAATGAATCTGGCTGTGCCACCATATCCAAATATCGTCCTTTTAGATCGAAATAGTGTAACTTTAGACTTTTCAAACCAACATATGTTTGGACTTTGATTTCCTCAATTTAATTTTCAACTACAACATTTCAACTCTGAAACAGAGTAAATATGATTGTGTTCTTTCCTCCTGTTTTTTCTAAATTCCCATTTCCGACAATGTAATGTAGTTATTGATATCAATATGTCAATTATCTTTGTTTGCAGGGACTCTCCATCCCACACAGGAAATGAAATGCAGAAACAGTCCAAGCAAAGAAAAGTCCCTGTCGAGGATGGAGTCGTTACAATCGACTGCGCCCCTTACTGTCGCAAAATAGGCCTGCATCGTCCCCCTTTCAGATACGTGTGGTGCGTGAAGGATATATGTGGTGTGATATGTGCTATATTCACATGGCTGCTGATTCTGTACGCGGAGTATGTAGTGATGTTCGTCATGCTGCTGCCCGGTCACAACATTCTCTACAGTCTGGTCCATGGGATCCTGTATAACTTGTTGGCGTCCCTGGCCATCGGGTCTCATCTACGAACAATGTTCACCGATCCTGTAAGTATTGGACCGCAACAAATCCACTGATAAGGATTGTCACGAATGTAGGGTAACAGATGGAGTGAGTTTAGTTTTACGCCACACTCAGCAATATTCCTATGGCAGCGATGGTAACAAATGGAACGTTTTTCCGACTACAGTAACAAGCCAGCAATTGATGTCTTCAGTATATTCAGTGAAACAACAACAAAATATATTAGTTGGCATGTTTTGACCTTGTTGACAGTGTCAGTTATTATGACAATGGACCAAAGAAGATCCGGGTTAGAATTGATCTTCAGTAACCCATGCGTGTCTTCTTAAGACTAAGAGGCATGGGGCGGTGGGGTAGCCTAATGGTTAAATCGTTGGCTCGTCACGCTGAAGACCCGGGTTCGAATCCCCACATGGGCACAATGCGTGAGGCCCATTTCTGGTGTCCCCCGCCGTGATGTTGCTGGAATATTGCTATAAGAGGGGTAAAACCAAACTCAGTCAGTCAGTCAGTCTTAAGAGGCGACTATTGGGATCAGGTGGTCAGGCTCGCTGACTTGGTTGACACATGTCATCGTATCCCTATAGATCGATGCTCATGCTGGTGATCACTGGATTGTTGATTATTTACAGACTGCCACCATATAGTTGGAATATTGGTGAGTGCGGCATAAAACTTAACTCACTCACTCAGTCTGTGTTGTTGTGTAGGTGTTACAATCATCTCAGCACAAAGTTTTCTCTCTGGAATAGGGCCCCGAGAATTGGATGAATTTTTAGAGGGTTGCTCAACACAGATGTAGCTGGGCAATGCAGATAAATTCAATGACTGAAAAGTGGGCAAGATGTGGCAGTTGATATTTGTACATCAGGTACAGATAATTGGTGTGATAATTGTCAGAACATTCAGAAACTACCAAACATAACCTCTGTTCATCATGTACGCACGTAGGCTTTTTCAAGCTGTACATAATGTTGATACATCATATAAGAAATTATTGACTTTTGTTCTTTATCAAGCATACAATAAAATGCCACAGGTAAAATATATTCGCCCTGTGTTTTAGCAATATCATGGCGAGGGACACCCAAAATGGAGTTCACACATTGTACCCATGGGGGGAATCGAACCTGGGTCTTCAGTGTGACGAGCAGATGCTTTAACCACTAGGCTACCCCACCGCCCCGAATATGATGGCCTTTGCAATATATAAAAGAATGCAGCTGGAAAGAAGAGTCCTTGTCATGACAGAGACAAAATATTTGATGATTTGACTATCTTATTCTTATTATTCAAATACTACTGCAGAAATCCTGCAACAGCTAAGGATCCCACTTCTTTTTTAACTCACCCATGATGGTTTGGTTTAGAAATTAGAATTGGCCTTCAGCAACTCATGCTTGTCGTAAGAGTAAGAGGCGACTAACTGGATCGGATGGTCAGGCTGGCTGACTTGGTTGGAACATGTCATCGCATCCCAAATGTGTAGATCGACGCTCATGCTGTTGATCACTGGATTGTTTGGTCCAGACTCAATTATTTATAGACCGCCGCCATAAAACTGGAATATTGCTGTGTGGTGTTAAACAACAACCAAATCATTTTGAACTCGTATGGCATTATGAAAACAAAAGCTCCAACACAGCTTGGAATGAATGTTTCAGGGTGCAGTACCGAAGGGTAACGCGACGCAGGAGAACATCCTTCGTCTGGGGCTGAAGGAGGGAGAGGTGGTCTTCAAATGCCCAAAGTGTATCAGCATCAAACCAGAGCGCGCACATCACTGCAGGTGAGTCGGGGAACAGTCAAGGATTGTGAAAACATATTCCAAAGGAGAACGTTTCCTGATCCAGCGTTTGAAATTAACGTCGGTCCTTAGGACCGAAGCTGACTGAAAACCACTTGGACCCACAAGCTTTTGTTTTCTGCAGGTCCTTAAGGCCGACAGCTTATTAATCTGTTCATCCCCAATAACTAAGAGTATTATTTCCATATTAAGATATAGGGCCTAAACATTCTGATCAGGACCCACAACTTTTGATGGTTCTGGGTCCTTAGGGCTGCAGCTTTTCAGGTTTAAGGGCAAACACTGCCCTGATCAAAGCTTGGTTTTTAGCTCACCAGAAGCGAAGGAGTTTGCAATGTTGAATTGGATCTAAGCTGACATCCACTTCTGGCTTTTCGGCATAACATACTACCCATCAAAAGTTTAGACTCACCCAGTGCTCTCACTATATGTTATGCATATATATATATGGTTACATCGAAGATGACTTTCTCCACTAACTTGGGGGAACCAACTGCAAACCTTATGCAGATGCATTGTATGAGGATCATGCATCAAAGTTCTGAAAAACATGTGCAAATATTAAAAATTCTCCAATTTTCACTGAGTTTCATCATTTATTGAACCTGTGACAATAACTTTTTCAACGTTACGAATTAGTTTTACAATACATCAGTTCATGTGTAAACAGTACCTTAAAACAGTATGGAATATTTTTGCAAAATCTTGTTCAGAACAGTTGACTGAAGTTAGTGGCTACATTTACACTAGTGAGTCTAAACTTTTGATGGGTAGTATAGAAGTTGTAGCTGGAGGTAGTTGTATAAAACCTAATGAGGGACACATAAAATCATTTATTACCCTTGGATGAGTTAGAAGATTTTTTATTGGTTTTTAGCCAATGCACATGAAACCATACTCTAATTTTTAAGTGTAGTATGAAGTCATCTTGCCCTGTTCCAACAGGTTGTACCTTGACCTTGACACTTTGTGACCTTTGACACTAAAATCTAGTGGACAACATTACATAGTCATGACAGTATATAGATAAAGTCCCTTCACTTAAGACTTACCTGCAATCAAATCTCATTATCGGACCTCCATGTCAGAATGTTGTGAATTGATCTAAGACAAAAAAAAATGTCTCATTAAACATGGTGTTGTGTCTTAATATTCTAGATTGAAGCAATAACATCTGATGTCTGGGAGATAATTCTGTGTGAACTAACAACCAACAAGGAAATGTTTGTACAATTAACAATTGTATTATAAATTAAGTGATTTACAAATCAATACAACTTGCTGCAAAGTTGTCAAGTTTCAAAATCAGGCCAAAGTTGTATACCTAAGGTGAAAAGATTACCATCACATGGTTGTGTGAATGTCTTGTAATGAGAAAGTACAGATACATGTGCTTGCCCCTGTTGTATGTATATATGAAATGGCTTCTGGAACTTCTTTACTAAGCTGACTTAATATCCGGGTTAGAATTGGTCTTGAGTAACCCATGCTTGTCGTAAGAGGCGACTAGCGGGAGCGAGTGGTCCGGCTTGCTGACTTGGTTGACACGTCATCGTATACCAATTGAATAGATTGATGCTCATGCTGTTGAACACTGGATTGTCTGGTCCAGACTTAATTATTTAGAGACCTGGGCCTAGATTTTCGAAGCTCTCTTAATGCTGAGATAGTCGTAAGTTAATGTTAATGAATGGCACTTACGACTATCTTAGTGCTAAGAGAGCTTCGAAAATCTAGGCCCAGGCCATATAGCTAGAATATTGCTGAGTGTGACGTTAAACAACAAACCAACAACCAAACCAGTCTAATTGTAGGAACCAACAATCCCCTGCTCTCTACTGAACTTTAACAGAAGTAGTAGACAGGATGGGGGTTTTGGATCAGGGTAATCTAAAGCTTCATTTAATAGATGAAGCCTTAGTCGGACCCTTCCCATTACCATCTACTACAAAGCTTTATTTCATAAAATAAAGACTTTGGTCGGACCCTTAGCTCTTGCTACTATAGGGTATCTTGCCTCTATGTCGTGTTGACGGGAGGTAATACTGTGTCATACGGTACGATCAATAATTCTTCTCTCACAAACCCCCATCCTGGCCCATCCCTCAAGTAGTACAAGGTAGGTTCGCCGGCTTTGATGTCTACTTTATCTATGTTGTAAGTTTTGATCGACCATATCGGATCGGTGGCACGCTTGCGACTATCACCCTCATGTTCTCCAGGCTGGTATAGATACCTAACTAGGGCCCTGTCTGGTATTTGTTTCTCCTTCCCATGTAATGGAGCAGCCGGTTCGGCCATCACTGATTTTAGTTTGATAGCGTCTGCCGGTTTCTTACCGGTGAGCCGGGTGACCTCATGGTTTATTGCCGACACCACCTTAGGGAGCCGTTCAACCCATTCAGTCGATCGTTTTCCAGGGGTGGCCATCTCTCTAGCGTACTGGTGCCCAAATAAACGCTCAGCCAAAGTCCTATTAAATCTTTCAACTATGGCTTGACTCGCGATGAGCCCCGCAGTACCACGCCTAACCCTTGTATCGCGGCTTAGTCAGCAACCGCGATACGGCACCCATGAACTCTCGCCCGGGGTCAACTTGGAGCTCTGATGGCCATGTCAACGGACTGCGTTTGTATATCGCTCAATGGCTTGAGCCACCAGATTCGAATCTTCGCGGTCAATGGTTCAGCTTCCTTATACCGGCTGGCTACATCCACGATAGTCAGAGCATATTTGTAGGTTTTACGCCTCACCCTGTCGCGGAGGTAGGAACAGCAGGTCTGCTTGGTGAACGCTATTAGGTACATTAATACCAAACTTCCTTCTAGGCACATAGCGTGGTGGTGGTAAATATATCTGCCAAAGTGCTTGTTTTTCAAGCCATGTTTTGACCTCCTCCGGGATACTTTCGAGTTATTTTAGATAGCTTATCTACAGCTAGCTCCTTTCCAATATCCACGCTGACTGTAGTAAATAGCCTCAAACTTTTTCTGGTTCCGTGACATGTCACCATTTATTTATACCTATGTTCTTGGTTCAATTTTCTCATGTCCATACGCGTACGTGTTTATCCCATCAATAGCTATCCAACGTTTGGTATCCATAGGCTTACAGGGACGCCTTTGTTTATTGTCAGCCCATATATCCTATGACTATCACTTCTAAGTGTGTTCATTTTATGTTTAAAGGTACCGGTCTTGAACAGAGCTTCCTTTGAATCTGGCGTGTTTGATGTGTTGTTTCACCACGCACTTCTTAACACCCTTAGCCTTCCGGATTTCACCATTGTCAGCCTTCAGTATAGAGTACATCTTTAGGCCTCAACCCTATGTACTCGGCTATGGGCGTATGCCAGCACACTCGTCCTTCATCTTACCTAGGACCTTTTATTCACCGTGTGTGTATGGCATGGTCCTTGGGGTAGTCGCTGGTGTCGCATAAATCGAGGTGTTTTTCATGTCCTCGTGACACGCCCTCGGTTCAATCTCCATCAGCAGGGAATCCGTGTCAGTGTACAGCACTTCACACCTGTCGCCGCATTGTTTCTTCAGCTCGCTGTAATAAAAGTCATACATCAGGTGTTTGATAAATCAAGGATGCTCATCCCAACGTAAACAGGCCGGTTTAATATTATGTGACTTTTCTTCATGTGTATGGCAGCCAGGTCGTTATCGAATATCTTACTACACGGTTGAATGCAGGGTTAGCGATCAGCTTCCTGAGTTTTTCCTCCTCATTCGACCGAACCAGCTTCACGCCCACGCTTCCTCAGGTTCTCCATCGTCTTACCGAATACCGAAGTTGTTCATGAGCTTGTAGAGATTTTCTCAAAGTCACTGGTAGCAAGCTGGAGGTCTGTGTTCATTCTGATATAAGGCTCCATCCAAGGACTTTGGGTAAACTTCAGCACTCTGTGTATTTTGGTCAGTTTCATACCCAACCACAGGTACAGCTGCAGGTTGCATAGTGCACTATGTATTTGGTCTTATTCATTAAAGTTAGGTAACGAAGTTTTTTCAACACCGGCCACCCGCCTATCTAACAAGTTATGTTGGTATTCAGACATCCAGTTCAGTTAACCCTCATAACGCTCGGGGCTAGGGGGGTAACTGTTGTGTGATGTGTGTAATGCCTTGGGATACTCCAAGTCAACTTCGAGGATATAACCTTTGTTCGAATCCGCGCAGCGATGCTCATAATATCGAAATCGATGATACCCATTCGAATCCCCTGTGGTAGATACTGACTCATAGCCCATCCGTACAGGTTATTTTATACGAGATAGAGAATGTGATTGGTTGGTTTGCTAGGGTCGTAGCCATTCAATTATTGATTATTTGCTTTTAGCGCATCGCTTGGTTACCATGGAGATCCCACCGCAAACCTTTTCTCAACTAACAGGTGCATGTCATAATCAGTAAGCAATTCCAACTTAACTCCGGTCTTTTAAGCAAGGCATCCCACGATAGGCCTGGGCTGGTGTAATACCATGCTGGATCTAGTTTATACTGCTTGATACATGTCCGCCTAAATGTCTCAAACACGCCGGCTAATAGTAGTACATCCATCTTCAAGTACAGATCGCGTGATAGTCACCCAGGTTTTACAACCAAGTTTATTCCATACATTAATAGCGCATTTAGTAATCGCCTTCGGATATTTCCGAAGTCTGTCAGATTGCTGTAAAATTCTCTGATGGGAGGTAGTCTGGTCTCGGGCGAACTTAGTCCAACTATCCATGTACTCATAGGGATACACACCCTTCCTCATAAGCAGAGATCTAGTCTCGGCGTCTGTGTATCGATCGGTGATAGGAAGGTATCGCTGGCTTTAATCGCTGGCTAATGACGACAATAGAAATTGACACGAAGTCAATGAACCTAAGTCCGTCTAAGCTGAAAGAGAGATATTTCTCCATGTTGTTGGGGATGCATCGCTATATTACCATCGATTTTCGCGATGGCCTGCATGATTAAGTGAGA